GCAGCTGCGTCGGGCAGCGGCATAAGATCGGCGAAACATGCGTGTCTGGGCTTTTAGCTAATACTTGTGTTGTTAGTACGGTAAATCATTGCACAAGAGTGTTTGTGTTTGTGTGTACGCTTTATGAGTAGTGCCTCTCGGCTGACGACTGTTTGGTTACTCAACCTTGAAGGGTGACGGCCCAGGCTAAACGTAGGGCCACATGTCGCCCTTTTAGGTCAAAAGGTCTGAAAGCGTGTGCTATGCCAGTATCAGCAAACCATGGCCCTCGCATCGTGGTATGCACTGGCAGTTCCCTGACACCCTGCCGGTAGATGCGCTTGCGCTCCCCCTGAGTATACAAGTGGTGGGTAGGTCTGCCTAGTCATTATTTTCGTCCTTCTGATCACACAAATAGAGGCATTTGTGTGGCAGGTTTGCTTCAGAAATGAAGGCGCACGGCAGTAAATAGCATGCGGGTGTGAGTGATAAACGTTCGTCAGGGATCTGTTTGAGGGTCTCCGACAGCCACAGGCGACGGCTGTACGGTTGGTCAGTGAACTCGACGAATAAATGTGCGGAACTAAATAAAGTGCTTAAGGCGGTTTTCTACAGCCTCCAGTTTGTTTTCTGCGTGTAGCCCTGCATCCAGTGACGGGGCGAGAGCCTTAAGTACAGTCGGTGGGCTAACTCGTGAAGTGTCAACCGAAATCCCGAAATGTGTTTTCGTTTCGAAAAAATTAATTAAGTAGGGTTGTAAAACTAGTCAGCCTGCAACATAATTCTATAATATTTCATTTACCTCAGGATGCTGGCTTTCGAACGAACTTCCTTCCGGTTGCATGCGAAAACTATACTCTGTAAAAAATGACTACTTATGTATCATGAATTTTTCTCATTTATTTTCGATGCCCCTAAAAGTCCCATTATATCTCATGGAAAACATGCATAACAAAATTCATTCTTCTGCTCATTCGGTAGAAAATTACGTCTTCTTCCAGTTTTATACTCGAAGGAGGGACATAATTCCGTTTAAAAGTTTCTAATTGTGAGACTTTTAAATATCATGAAATGGCCGTTCATAAATCGTCATGTCTCTGCATTTACCAATGTGGCTCGTAAAGCTAACAATATGGATCAAATTCACCGCTAAATTTTACGATCCCATATGGTCTCCTCTTAATACCGTAGAGAAACGTGTGGTATTCCGTACGCGAAAAATATACGGCTTGTAGTTTGGAAACCCTGAATCCAAGTGTGACGGTAGAGCGGGTTCAAAATTATTCGGGAATTGAAAAACTTTTTTAAAACCAAATTATGTCCCTCCTTCGAGTATAAAATTAGAAGAAGACGTCATTATCTACCGAATGATCAAAAGAATGAATATTTTTATGCATGGTTTCCATGAGATATAATGGAAAATTTAGGGACATCGAAAATAAATGAGAAAAATTCATGCTATTTAAGCAGTCATTTTTTTTCAGAGTGCAGTTTTTTCATGCAGCAGGAAGGAAATTCACTCGAAAGCCGGAATCCTGAGATAACTGAAATATTATAGAATTATGTTGCAGGCTGACTAGTTTTACAACCCTACTTAATTAATTTTTTTGAAACGAAAACGCATTTCGGAATTTCGGTTGACTTTTTATGAGTTCGCCCACCTACTATAAGGTAGGGGTCTTGTCGACATACGGGATTTCTTCCAGATAGAACCCTGCTCGTCTCAACCAGGTAACAGAATGTTCTCTATAGTTATACTGCGGCCTATTTGACGCAAAACTGGGTGTTGCTGATACACTAACGCCGTAAGTAAACTGCGGACTCCGTTGTTGAGCTGCCATCACTATAAAGCCTGCATCCTTCTTCCTGTTAGTGTTGCTGTTTCGACGATATTATCTCCCCTCAAGTAGTGTTGGTTCCGCAATTTTAACCCACATATGTGACTCTTCAGAACAAGAAGTGTGGCGATAGACAAGCTGAGGGTGTCAAATATAAATGTTTATCTAACTTGACGCTTGAGACGTAAAAAGAATAATTCACTTCCCTTACTCCTTCGTGTTAGACTGAGAAGTCATCTACGCGACAACAGTTAGCGAATCGATCACAGACAGCCCGCGGTTACGGCTCTTTTTCGCTTCACGTATACAGCTTGGCTCCGATACCCGGGTTGCATGTGCACACTTACGCAGTGTGCTCAACGGGCGATCAACCAACCAGAATATGCGCATCTTCTACACGCGCACAGGACCGGAATCCAAGGCCGACCAGCGACCAATCATGTGTTAACCTTGAAAAGAACCTATTGGTACGACTGCAACTCGCATTTCATTGCTATTAAGGCAGCTGGGAACCTGAAGGCAACAAACCGCAGTACTACTGAATAGATCTTTTGGAATCCTGGAAATACGTGAGAATATCCGTCAAAAAATGGAGTTCACACCGATGTGGCGGTAGCCAATTCCCTCTGAGAAACCTTACCTTTCCACGGGATTTTACAAAGAACTCCATGAGAGGAGATGCAGATGCAGGGGAGAAATCAATCCCTAACCGTCTTACATAAGAAGGATCGACACGACGCGGTCCCTTAACTTAATGTACAGCGACCAGATAACCCGGATCTGCTCATAACTGGCGTTTTAGCATGGCTGACTGACGAACGCCAAGCAGGACAGAAATGGCCATCCAAGTTACCTTCGTCGTTATTGGTGGACGCGACCGTTCTGAAATTCATCGTACACTTACGACACCTTGCATACTCATCTGTTTTCCTGTGGAGAATAGAGCTCACAGGTGTTAAGGCGGTCGTCGTGATAGTCGTATTCTCCGCAGACACATACCACACATCGGCAACCTACTGGAGCGGCGACCACTGCATGTTACCACTACTCCTTGGAGAGCGCCGCCTATTGACCCCACCGAAGTTCCTTCGTCCCAAATTTCTCAACTCCTGAATAGCTGCCACCGTGCTTCCCTCCCTAATCGCAAATATGCAGTCTGTTTTGTTATAAGAACTCGGCAGAAAACTCCGCTATGAACGTAGGATCGACAGTACAGACTTTATATACTCCTACTGCTATACAACGTTCACAGCCATGGTAGGTATCAGCATCCTTACTTTGCGTAATAATGACCCCAGCGGGTGTGTCACAGATTACAGCCACGACGCGAACACGAGCTTAGTCGGCTGGCGTCCTGGCAGTGAATTTCGCATTCCTGCAGTGGCTTTATCTCCTTAACAATTAACTTTCACAACGCCTGCGCACCTGACAGCTTTCCGCCTCCGCAATATATGCGAAAAAGCATAACTGGACAATTCTTCCTAAAATAGGTCATATTTAGATCTTCGATTTTCAAAAAAAACTGGGGAACCGTCAATAGTCAGGTTTATTACCAATCCATCTGCGAGGAGGAGAACATTCTTACCTAATAGTTTGTGGGACTGCTTTTCCAAGCCAATTTGCACGTATTCCCCACTACCCATAAGGAGCATCTGCAAATTACACGAGGTTTCTAGGCGCGTTTTTGTGTTTCCTGGTAATTGGGACTCCTCTGACCTATGGTTATCTAAAAGACCTCGCAGGTGAGCTTGCACTATAATGTGTGTCGCAATACCTCCTCCGAGCCTCCAAAATAGTTACATTCGACTGGATTTGCCAGCAAAAGTGTGTCATTTTCACTAAGTTCGGAACACGAAGTGAAGCCATCTAAGCCAGTTTTTCAAGCCTTCCAGAGTGAGGATTTTTAGATTTTCACGACTAACTTTATTCACATACTTCCTAATTCGACGCTCACACAGGCTGTCTTATTCGTGTCTAAATTTAATTACCAGTTGAATAAACACAGATAAATCAATAACGCCGGTAGTAAGGCGCTCACGTCACGCGTGCTAGGCCGTCGTCACGGCGCGCACGCGATATCGGTACGTGTGTAATACCCGAGTTACCTGAAGGTTTGGTTTCGTCTGTAATGAGGCCCTTGGAGGGCGGTTGGGGTTGTTCGTCTGAAGGGGTCATAGTAGACCTATCCATTACGGTTCTGCCTTGCACGGGGTGTTTTTAAGTCTGACCACACGGATTCCAACAGACCATACCAGAATTGAACTGCCGATAACGCAACGTTTATTAAATCGAGGGTTGGGAACGGGACGAATCGTGAGTTGGGGGGGGGGTCAACTTATAAACGGGGGAACGACAATAGAGTAGGTAAAACCAGAAGATATGCCCGAGCTTCTTCCGATTTATCCTCCTTCTTGTCCAGGTGTCGGTACGCGTGACTCCGCCTTCTGCGCGTCCGCTTGTTGATCCGTCACCGTGGCTTCAAAGGGAGCGTAATATCGCTCAGGAGAACGTTAACAAAGGAATTAAAACAAACCTAACTAAAAATATCTGTCCTTTACGACTCCCCCCTCCTTAAGGTACGGTCCTGTCCGAAGGGCCGTTGTTTGTCGGATCATGACTATCACCAACCAGGACCTCAACTGTAGGTTCTGGGACCATATGGAGTGGAATGACAGGGAGGGAATCGTCTCTCGCAATGGTAAGTCGTCCTCTATAAGGTTTAAGTTTGTCATAATGCGCCGTAAACGTTGGGCCCCCCGGCATATGGGCATCGCTTATGATGTACGTGGTGGGTGAGAGGACGTCCGTGATGACGTAAGGGCCTTCCCATGGGTAAAATAATTTTTCCGTCGTGCCGATCGGAGGTATAGATCTAAAACGTAGGACTAGGTCACCGTGGTTAAAGGGTGACCCGCTTGTTCTCCGGTCAAAATATTCCTTCTGTCTATCATATGCAGCTTTGAGGTGTTCACGTGCCAAGTTGTGTGTGACTCGTAACGTCTCTTGTAAATCGAATACATACTTATCCGGATCGTCCGAATCTTGTGGGAGGAGTGGAAAATGGGAATCTGCTAGTAATCTGAAATGGCGTCCCGTCAGCGTACGATATGGTGCGTAGCCGGTAGAGGAGTGGATAGTGGCTCCTTACGCCATCATCGCATAAGGCGGCCGTGTATCCCAGTTATGAGGGTGGTGTTCCTCGGCGAACGCCTTCAGGAGTCTGCTAATGGTGCGGTTCGTACGTTCTACCTATCCGTTGCCTTCTGGGTGGACCGGAGTAGTCCGTGTCTTGTGGATGAGTAGAAGATCGCACACATCACGTACGAGATTACTTTCAAAATTAGCTCCACAATCGGAGTTTAGGGAAAGTGGGGCTTTGAACCGGCAGATCTACTAGCTCAGCAGGGCATTAGTAACCGACGCGGCATCTTGCCGACGTAATGGAACAGCCTCCTCCCATTTTGTAAAATAGTCCACCATCACCAGTATGTAACAGTTACCAGCGGTTGTGAAGGGCAGTGGTCCAATCACGTCTATGCCTACGCGCTCGAATGGGAATCCTGTGGTCATAGGTTGGAGTGGTACCCTCTGTCTGGGGATCGAGCCCTTAAAAGATGCACAAGTTGGACATGTGTTGCAGAACGTAGTCACCTGTTCCCGCAGGTGCGGCCACCAGAAACGTTGTCTTACCGCGGCCTCCGTTTTCGTATGTCCGACGTGGCCTAGTGCTCTGTGGATGTCTTCTAGGACTGAAATTACCAGGCTCCCAGGAACGACAAGCCGTGGTTGACTGTTCGCCTCGTCTTTGAAGAAAAGGAGGTCGTTTTCTAGATGCAGGTGTTGTCAGTGGTTCCTCAAGATTCGAGCAATGTCGGAAGAGCCGCAAAACTCGGTGTCAGTGGGGCGGTGTCTACCGTGGAGCTGGTGGTCGTACACGATAGCCGTGTCCGGATCTGTACTTTGCGCAACCGCCCACTGGTGACGTGTCGGTTCACTAACCGTGATAGCACTTACGCTAGCGTTCTCCCTGTACGTAGATGAATCCTCTGTTGCTGCGGGTCTTCGAGACAATGCGTCCGCGTTGTTATGTTTAGTCCCTGGCCGGTGTTGGCAGGTAAAATCAAATTGTTGTAGGGTTTCCTGCCATCTAGCCAATGGTCCTTCGGCCTCCTTCATATTTTGCAGTCATTTTAATGCCTTATGGTCCGAACGGATAATGAAGTGTCTCCCCAATAAGAAGGGTTTAAACTGCTTGACGAAGGTCATCAGGGCAGATAACTCCCTCCGGTAGGTGCAATAATTGCGTTGCGCTCTATTTAGGGACTTGCTAGCAAAGCAGATAGGGCGTTCATTCCCTGCTTCGTCTGTCTGTGATAGAACTCCGCCAATAGCAAATCCGCTAGCATCTGTATCGACGACAAAGAGTGATGCATCCGTAGATGTGTTAGGTAGCATCAACACCGGGCCTGAAATCAGTCGACTTTTCAATTCTTCGAAAGATGTTTGGCAATCGTCTGTCCACGCGAATTGTCTACCCTTCTCAGTCAGTCGGTGTAGAGGTCGTGCAATCTCCGCGAAATGCGGGATAAAACGTCTGTAATATGATGCAAGGCCTACGAAACTGCGTACCTCGGTTGCTGACTTCGGCGGTGGCCACGTGCGGATAATGTCGATTTTTTCTGGGGATGCATAGATGCCCTCTGCACTGACCTCATGGCCCAGGTATGTGACCTTCTGCCGAAGAAAAGAACATTTTGCCGGGTTCAGACGTAGACCAGCGTCCCGTAAAGCTGTCAATACTGCCGTGAGTCTAGGGTTATGCTCATCTACAGATCTTCCGAACACGATCACGTCGTCTAAATAGACTAAGCAATGTGTTGGAAAAAGGTGTGATAAAACCCACCTGCATCAGTCTTTGAAACGTGGCCGCAGCATTGCATAGACCGAAAGGCATAGTGTCAAATTCAAATAATCCTTGTGGCAGAATAAAAGCCGTCTTATGTTGATCCTTGGGTTCAACTTCTACTTTCCAATATCCAGATTTTAGAGCCAAAGTGGAAAACCATTTAGCACCAGCTAAGACATCCAAAGTAACGTCAATCCGTGGCAAAGGGAAAGAATCCCTAACGGTAAGGGCATTCAATCGTCTGTAATCCACACAAAAGCGTAATTTGCCGTCCTTCTTTGGTACTAGAGTGACTGGAGACGCCCAGGGTGAATGGGAGGGTTTAATGATCCTAGCTTTCAACATCTTGTCCAGAAGATCGTTAACTTCTGTCTGTAAGTGGACCGGCATCCGTCTCGGAGGTTGCCACACCGGTTTAGCGTTTTCTGTCTCAATAGTGTGCCGTATATAGCTCGTACAACTAATCTGACTTTCATCCCAAGCGAAGACATCATGAAAGAATAAAAGCAGTGACCGAAGACCTTCCTTATGCTCTGCGTCCATGTCCGTATGGTCTTTAAGTATATCGTCAATGTTTGTAGGTGATAGACTCACAACGGCAGAAATTCTCGCACAAACAACAGCCTCATCAAACGAATCGTTAATGTTTGCCAAATCCATTTTTTCACCAAAACTAACAGCTCGCTTTCTGACATTGATACAACAGTCGTATTTGCTTAGAAAATCGATGCCTAATAACAAGTCCCATGTCAAGCCGGGGACTACTAAGAAGTCATGATCCTTGCACGAATGTTCAAATTGTAAACTGATCATGAACAATCCCCGAACACTCTAAAGGGGATCCATTAACTGCGACTAACGTAGGGAGAGACCCATATTTCTGTATACTTTCGAGGAGAGTATGTGTTAGGATACGCGGATTAGCAATGGAGAGCGTAGCGCCGGTATCTATAAGGGCTCTAACCGATTTGTTTTCAACATAGATGTCAATAAAGAATGATGGGTCGTCAAAAGGTACTGAACAAATAGGGATGTAGACACTACCAGGTTGTTGGTAAGAGTGTCTTTCCTCTGGTTGCCAGGGTCGCACTCCACACTGGCATTGTGGTCGTTGATATTCCCTTGTTTGATTACTGCGTGGTTGCTACTGGGGATGTGGTGGACGAAATCTAGCGCCATTAATGAAATTATGCCCAAAACGCTGTGGTGTAAAATTAGATGCATTTGTCATCTGGGGGCGTTGAGGTGCCGGCCTCCAGATAAATCAATAACGCCGGTAGTAAGGCGCTCAAGTCACGCGTGCTAGGCCGTTGTCACGGCGCGCACGCGATATCGGTACGTGATTAAAGAACGACAACCAATGAGTGGTGTGGTTACATCAGCAGGGTAACCAATGCCGTGCCCGTGCTTGAAACACATCGACTCAATATCAATTGCCACTTGGTCGGCCACCGGATTGCAGTAAAACAAACACGGCAAAAACAAAGGCAGGACTGACGTGTGTGGACGTCTAAATGGGACATGGAAATAGGAAAACCCCGCCCAAGTGATAAAGGAGGACCTGCGCATAATTCTAGAAAGAGAAAAATATTCCCGTATACTAACCCTAATATAAAACTCAACCGTTGCCCCAATCTTGACCCTAACCCTACCCTAGACCTTAACTCTGCAGTTTACACTAACCCCAACCTTAGCCCTAAACTTGATCCTGACGTACATTAACGTTAACTTTAAAAGTAACCTTAAACCTAATCCTTAACTTAGCCCTAACCCTCACCTGAGACCTAATCTTAGTTTCACTGGAAGTTGGCTCAAAGTCACCCGTGGTGCAGGAAGCTCCTGTTCTCATGTCCTGTTTAGGCGTCCACATACGTCAGTCCTACCAAAACAAACTTTAGTTGTGAGAAAGTATTTTGCGAAGAATTGAACCGCACTTTGCACTGCGTCTCGTCCTAGCGGGTCCACAGACCATGTCTGTGAAATGCACGTACTGCTCGGAGTCGTTGTTTTAGTTCACCTAATTAGTCTGTGTGGTCATCTAACTCACTCTGCAGGGAACTGGAAATTGACCATGGTCACACAAGTCCTTGACACCCAGAAAACTTGAGCCTTGTCCATCAAGCCTCCTTTTCATGGTACATTTTCTCACCTGTCCACACCTTTTGATCTTTACACTACAAACCCTTGGAAGGTGTGTGGAGGGGTGTAGCCAAAGACATAGCCGCACAGCACATCGTAGTGAGTCCAGGTTTGCGCACCTGCGTAAGCAATAACAAATCAGTCTGTCGTACTGAAACCGTCAATGCCCGCAGACCAAATCATGTTTTCGTTATAACCAAACAGATATCATGCCAGAAGCCTAAACTGCCTAAAATCGTGACGATCCAGCGCATTGAGGGGTTTAAACATCGAAATCTTGTCTCATGCTACAGTCCCGATCGAAAGAGTAGGCGGTAAGTATTATTCAACGTAGGTGTCCTTAATCCCAGAGGCAGCTAGGTGAAAGAATTCCGGATTCACCCAACGACATCGCAGTCAGTGGATAAATCTCATTTTTGTTCAGTTATGAAGCTTTGCACATGCGGACACATAACACTTCTCATTATAAGAAGTAAAAGCAATCCTTGGAACAAGGGCTTTATTCGCCTGATGTGTCGGATTCTCACTTAAACCCATAATCAGAGAAAGTCACCGGTTTCTATCACTGTCTCTGATGAGGAGGTTCAAGTAAGAATCCGAAACGTCGGGTGAATAAAGCCCTTGTCGCAGCGATCGCTTCTATGTCTTAGCAACTAGTTACTGGAACTCGAATCTTCGCCTGTATCGACTTCTCATTACGTCCACAACACCTGAACTCGTGCAAAGGCGTACCATCAACTGGCATGTCTATGGTAGACGAGATGAAACCGCTAAAAGGGTGCATTTATGTCGTATTCGACGACTCTCCATTGCCAGCACTCCACATGTAGATGCTCCTGTCTCGCTTAATCGAGGCGTTTTCACCCGTGCCTCTAATTCTCGTCTTCACAATTTTTTTTCTCGGCCCCCTGTCATACCAAATCAGACTGCATCATTGCGACTGGGAGAATGTGCACAAGACGGCTGCCATTCAAAAGTTGGGAAATTCGAGACGAAGAACCTCTGGTGGGACCGATTAGTCCGGCTCTCCAAGGAATGATGGTCACACGCAGCAGTCGCCTCAACAGTTGGTTGGGGATCCATGGTATGTGTCTGCGGAGGATGCCACAGCCCCGACTGCCTTGTCACCTGTGAACTCTACTTACCAAAGGAAACCAGGTGAGCATGCGAGCTGCTGTGATTGCTTATTAAAACCAACGGGGGGGGGTGGTATTGGTCCACCTGACCTGATTGTAGGACAAAATAGGGATTTTCCGTATTGCTTGGAGCTCCAGGTTGAGAGCCGACGCAGGCGACGGTATGAAAAGAAGCAATTCAACATTGAAAAGTCTAATCGAAGAAGACGACAGTAGCCCGTCGCCAGTCAGACATGCCGAATCCCAGGGTTAAACTATTCTCGCTCTGGTTACCGAACAGCAAGTTAACTGCTCTTCCATTGAAGTTGGGACCTGAGTCTTCCCAGTTCTTCGCACGTAACACAACCACTCGTTCATTTTCAGCCTTGTCCCGATCTCAGCTGACAAGACAGTGGACCCGTGACTAAGTGTTGGGGCGCTGACCTTCGAGCGCTCAATAATCGAAGAATTTAGGTTCATCCAGATCTAGGGCTGAGTATGGTTGACTGAGGGTGGATAGAAAGGCAGAAATGACCATCGCTGTCTTTTTTACCATTGCTATTACTAGTCGTTGTGCAACTGCCTAGATTGAGCATCATGGCGAACGAGACGGACACGTTTTGGCAACCTGCTCGGTTAACGCACTCCCTCTCTGGCGCAGAGAAGTGTCAATTCTTTCATTGAAGTAAAATTCACACAAGTTGTGGGGCTCGAATTATCCCCCGAAACAGTTCAGTAACCAGCTTATATCAAATTTTCACTCGGGTTCAGAGATTCCCCCGCCTATCGTCGCAATCCATGAACTCGCTGAGTTTATAGTGAAGTAGTTTTTACCGTGCTCTGCACTAACCACATCTCTGCCCGGCAAGTCCATGCAGTACACATCTGGTTGATTGATCTACTTAACCCTTAGTAACCCTTTTATTGGATTTCTAGTTTATTTAAACGAACTCGATGAACTGCCTTTCATATTCCGGCAAAGGACTAGGATGCGTTTATCCAAGAGTGGCATTTCTGGTCAGGGAAGTGGAACGCTGTATCCAGAATATGAAATCGTTCACTAAATCCATTGTAACCAGATGGCTGTTACCCCACCGGAGGGAATCCTGAGAGTATTGGCCTGATAGAAGCTTGTGATCAAGAATGCTGATCCACCGGTTTGACCTACTAATTGGAATGCACAAACTCTCGTTAAAAAAACCCACTGAGATCCAAACTATTGACCTACAAGATTGGCTTAATTTGAATACGGCTGGTCGGGTTCATTTATTCCTAAAAATTTATGTTCCGTAAAAGCGACACCTTGGGCGATTTATTATACTAACGAGAGAAAGTTAAATTACCGAGGAAGAAAGAGAAGAGAAGAAAGGAGGGGTGTTCGCCAAAACCGGTCAACTTAGCCGAATCATGCTGACATCGGCTGAGGATTATAACGGTCTAACCAGATTCAAGGATACTGTCAATTGATATTACCTCCCACTTCACACACATACCTCAGATACTCGTAGCCAGAAAAAAGTATTTTTATTATCTGCGGGCATTGGCTTTGAAATGATGACAAACATTCCAGGCTGGATTTTATGTGACTGGCCAGACATTGTGCATGCAGTGGACGCCGTCTTTAGTAACTGTCGGCCTGCTAAGCAGGCCTTTCTTTCGCAAACTTCCTTGTCACGATCTTTCACGCGAACGTGGACAAGAGGAACCTATCAATAATACTCGAGCATACCATGACTGGTGCAGCAGGCAACCGTAGGTTTTCCTTACTGCGCTTCACGCCCTTATCTTTCTCCTTTTTATTGTAGATGGTATGCACTACCTTATTTGAAAGATCAGTGTCCATGTTCAGTCGCGGTTGCAGTGTCGCACGTTCGGGAACTTTTGAGTGGCTGTACAGGCGAATATGCCATCCACAGGAAAAAGCAGACACGTTGGACCACTTCTCGAAGGCTACTGCTCCCCGTGATATCTTCACGCACGGTCCACGCGGCGGATGCATTCGGGGGCAGAATTTTTGTTACTGTGGGGCATTGCAGCCAATTTGTATTTTGAAGACACGGTGGAATCTCTGTCCTGTCCGACAGCGAACATTCTGACAGCGGACATATCTCACTAACAGGAGCCCTGTTCAGCGTTGCGCTGCTTTCGTTTTTCTGTCGGACATTATCTTTTCTCTCCAAAAGTCCACAACCTGACTTCCCTGATTATTTGATTGTCTTACTTTGCAGGCGTCGAAAACACCTTGTAGGCCACACCATTGCCTATTCCAAATGAGGGAAGGGCGGAACGCGAGATTTTTATCTTAGCGTACTACTGTTAAGACTCTTTACTATGAGCTTCCATTTTTTGAAGATTTTCCTTCATTTTCATTCCGATCGTCGCGATGCCTACTGTGTGCCCAAGAGCAAGGCGGGTGCAGGGATGGTGATCTGTACGTTACTTAGCTTGTAGTGATATCAGACTTGCGCAGCATCTACTCAACTCATTCTTTCTTCATCCACATGGTCCCGGTGGCAAGACGGTGTCAGGACGAGCGGAGGCTGACCCAAGCGCAGTGGCTGACAAATATAAGTAGCCCATATACACTTGCCATAAACCATTTGGTCTGTGCATAATTGATCATAGTCTCGCAGAAATAATGGGCGGCTGGGATCCCACCTGAGTTGGAGTTCCCTCCTAAATGTTTTTTTCTTATGGCAGCTAAAAGTTTGCGAAGACGACGAGTTGGACGGTGGTCATTGGTACAAGTACGAATTCGATAAGAAAAGGCCAACTTTTTCTAGTCAAGGTTTAGGATCATGTGCGCTAGTCTTTCGGTTGACACGTTTTGTCAATGCCAAATTACCTTGATTTAGATGCCACGACGTGTCCGTGGACAGCTTTGAAGATTTGCAACATCCCTAGGATCCACCGCTGTGTACTCCGGTGTTATGTGCTTAAAATGACCATTTCTCGAAACTTGAAAGGATCTACTTTGACCTGAAAGCCATTAATCGGCAGAGGCGACTTTTTCCTGTCGGGGCTTTGGTTGGTATACCCGCCTGAAGAGCGACCTCTTTCACCCGGGACACTTTGTCCAGCAGGTCGGTATAGCTCAATATCGGTTTATCAGTTGGGGTCCCCGTTGGGAATTCACACCACAAACACTGCATGCAGTTCGATCGGATCTTATTTCGTAGCCGTACCAGCAGTAGACAAGCCCCAGGCTAACCCCTAACTCTAGCCCCTTACAGGTTCGGCTACAAAATAAGATCTTGCCTGCAGTTCTTCCGATATTCCATTACTCCAAGGGAGTGGATCCTTGTCGGGCACCAGACAAAATAATGAACAGTCAGGTAGAGTTTTGTTTTCCGAAAGCTGCTTTTGTGATCAACGATAGTAGATCTTCAGAACGGACATGGATTTCGGTGTCTAGCGCTACCGCTGTGTTAGGTCGTTCCAGTTTTATAGCGTCCGTGCTTCTGGAACGAGCCCTATTGGGTGTTGAGGTGAACCTTCAAGTGCGTATGAAGGAGAAAGTGGTCCTACCCGTATGGCTTACCGCTTCTGGTGCCGGGCATCAGTCTACCACCATGCCTTTGGATGCGAAATCGTAAGCTGAACAAGTTGTGATCATTTAGGCTATTCGCACGATCATCCTTGGGGCGCCAGGCAAGTAGGTGCCTACGTCTTTGTTTGGGACTTCATTCTTACTCGAAAGTCGTAGTATACAGGGGATGGTAATTTGACCTCGAGAGCTTTGCCAAACAAAACTTGCCGTACTTGAAAACTGGCTCCTTATCCGCCGTAAGCCGTATGAAGCAGGTAGTAAACAAGCTAGTTGTTTTTTTTGGAAAACCGAACCTTGTATCGATCTTTAAAAGTCCTATTTGCATATATTTGTGATTTTATGCCCCTAAAGGACAGCAATAACGCATACAAGCAATTCTTTTCTTAAACGTGCTGAAAATGTCCCGCTATTGACGAACACACACAGAGTAAGCGTCAAAATGTCTATTGTCGAATGGTCGTTTTAGAGTTTGATCATGCGGAAAAGTGCATTTGTGCGACTTACTTTCTGCTTATGCTTAATTTAGAAACAGAACGGTCAGAACACTGACAAGTGGAGCAACATGTCATTTTTTACATGGCCAATCTTCAATGTATTCATAATTGTAGAATGAAGCCTAAATGTAAGCAAAGATCGCGAAAATGACTGTAATATAAAGAGCAAAAGCAAGTTCTTTCGTTTGTGACAGAAAACTTATCTTTCAGGAAGGTGGAAAAAATCTCCGAAAGTGACAATTTTTTCCCCGCTTTACTCTGTAAAAAGGCTAAGTACATGGACATTCACCAGAAGAATGCATTGTTAAAGCATTTTATACATAGGTAACTTCCTTGAGAAAGCCTTGCAACTGGTCAAAGGCATATTCGTCATTTAATTTTGTCGTGGACGTTAATTTTTTTCGACAACTTGGTTTCATGTTTGGGCGAGTCTTCAGAAATGACCCTAACAGCCATCTACATGAAAAAGAGCGTCCAAGCACTCGCTGCTTCTGTAAATACTTTCAAGAAATATCGTAATATTTTGATAAATAAATATCACGGAACCCAAATTCATTTGCAATCGACTGAAAGCACTGAAAGCCATGAAGTATTCCCTGGAGTTTCAAAGACAGTCTGAAACTCAGTGCACTCAACAGTCAGCAAGAACAGCATATAAGTTTGACGGAAGAAAACATCTCTTAGTATGAACAAACTGGTATGCTTACAATTGAATCTGTTAATTCTAGTCAAATTTAGTAATAACTGAACGAGCTTTGGCGTTTCTACCAACGACATCTGGAAAAGTCCTCTTTGCTTTAATCGACCGCATCTCAAATAAAAAAACGGAAAGTTACATCGATTTTGCGCAACAAGCTCTTGAAACATATTGTCGAGCTGGGCGCGCTTGACTGCGTGTCAGACTTCATATAGCACTAATTCTTGGAAAATATTTGATAGAAGAAAATGTAAACAATTTTTAAACGTTAGTGTGCTTATGTTGTTTTATTTAGCCAGTTATCTGCATGGACAGGCATTATGGGCGTCTAAAGTTTGAGTCCACTCATCTGACTCAAGTCTTCAGTTTTCGAAATTTGTACTTTTCTTAATAACATTGTCATTTCTGATCAACGAAATAGTATTTGAAATACGTATTCTACGTCTTTGTTTGGATGACGGTCGTCGAACTTCAATCGATTTCTCTTATCAGTAACACGTTTTTACTTCTATCCTGTCGCCGTACAAATGTTCTCGCCTGACGATAATTTATCCAAAGCTAACGTATGCTCGCCAATTGGTCTTCCGAGTAATAGTTTATTTGTTAAGCTCTCGGAGGGCCCAATCAATACAAAATCAGCACTGATTTAGATGTCAAAATATCGACAGTAATGTCAGACGTAAACTCTGTATGAGCAGCCAACTACACAACGGTACCTGGAAATTAAGCTTTGTAAAGCGGGAAAAGTTGTCGATGTCCGTTGGCGATTTGTCTTTTCTCGTACGATGATTGTGGTACTATCCACGAATGTCAAATTGGAGGTTTTTAGATAAAAGGGTGAACGCTGGACGAAACAGAGGAAAAAACTGAAGCGAAACAATGAGGAGGGTCGAAATAGCGCGCACTTTCAGGTGAAATATTCAGGAGAAATAGAAGTTGTTACACGAAGGGATGCAGAGGAGCACGGAAGATTCTTCCTTAGGGTATGAAAATTCAATACAGTGCGACCGCGGATGCTAGGTTGAGACCGATGGTGGAGTGTGAGGCCTCGACGTTCCAGTGGACAGAATGGAATCCTGGTGGGGTTTAGCGACGAGTGAAACGGGGACGGTTTAGAGCCTGTGCGTCAAAATGGTCCCAATTACTTCTCTGAGAGGTTGGTTAAGGAGGACATCACGTCTTGTGAGGGACACGACACATGTACTGCAAAAATCGAAATTTCTGCTGTGAGACCGAGGAAATCGAAAACACACGCGGAGAGGAAAGTGAGAGCGGATAAAATAGATCTGGCTTTGGCGTCCTAAACGCCACATGACCCTTTTCCAAACTCCTGGAGAAAGTTGCACGGGAAGGATGGGGAAAACAAAAGATAAAGGCTCAGTCTCCTCTCAAATGCATAGTGGCTGTGTGACGATTTAATATGTATTGGCGGCTTATCTCAGATAGACAGATGTATACCTGGAGGCAAAGAAAAATGAGCGATTAGAGACAGAGAAGGTGGGAGGAGTAATATCAAGGAAGAGTTTCGAATATTTTACAAACTATGAACACGGGCAATAACTGAAATCTCAGGGAAATTTGGCTTATTATTAATGCGAAATAGGAGACAGAAACTAGCTTCCAATCGCCGAACCTATTTTTCGCGCTCATTTCCCCTGCGTAAGTTCACCGTCCACTTTATCGAGGTTGTGTCGTTCCGAGTTAAGGGATAAGTGGATTTGTCCTACTGCTGTTTAAGGTTTGCGAAGGCGGTGAGCTAGGTGGTGGCAATATAATGCATATAAAAATCCGTAAATAATTTGATAACGTCATCCAGTGGAGATTTGGGGTCGCATTCTCTAATCGGTAAGACATGGTTATGCAGCCGCACCTGATAGACACAATACTGTTGGGGTTATGATAAGGGTTATCGTTAGGGGTTGGGGTGAGAGGTGGGGTTAGGGGTTAGGACAATTATTTATCAACCACGCATAGTGTAACCGCGCATTCCCAATAGCTTTTCTTTTGTATATAGCTACCTGATCTTGTCGCCTCTGTGTTCCATTGCCCAACCTATAAAAACCAAGTCGCCTGTGCATTCCCCGATC